CAGGCACATCCACAGCTGAGCGTCCTTTTGGCTTTGGCCCAACCACTTCATTAGCTCTGAAGCTACTTGAACTTATCCTCCGCTCTTCCTCAGTAGCATGTTGGATGCCTTTCGACCTGAGGGGCCCATCTTCCAGTGTCATATCTTTTAGCCTTTTGTTTCTGATCATGGGGCGTTCTTGGCAAAGATACTGGAGTGGCATTGCCAGTTCCTACTCCAGGTGGAATGCGTTTAGTCGGAACTCTCCACTATGACCTGTCCATCTTGGGTGGCCCTGCATGGCATAGCCCATAGTTTCTCTGAGTTACTCAAGCCCCTTCACCACGACAAGGCAGCAATCCATGAAGGAGTTTTAAAAATTAGGAATGGTCTTATACGTATATTAAATTTAGACCAAAACAAAAAAAAATGCTTCAGTGCCTCTTCTTTTCAAGTTTGCTAAAATACCATCAGATATAAGTTTGCTTTGCATGGTACTTGCTTTTGAGTAGTCACAATCAGAGGTTCTAGAGACTGAGTCTAAAAGTGGAACTAAGTCTGTACGTCATCCAGACCTAGAGCCCAGCCATGTATTATTCTGGGAAAATTCAGCATCTTATGATTGAGTGTGTCTATACAAATTTATTTCTTAATGTTTCCATAGGGCATCCAACTCTTTAAAGATTTACTCGACTCGATCAGAAACTGCAAAATAAACAACATTATGCTGGACAAAGCTTTCCACATTATGTCCACAGGACATAAAGGTGATCTCCTTTAGACATCACCAAAAAGAAAGACAAGAGAGAATAATGATTTGCATAAAACTGTATATGCTGTTCAGATACAACATTAGGAAGAATTCTTATAATTGAAACAGAAATATAGTGCAGAAGATTGTGGCAGGGGGTCTTTCAAAACTGCCGTAACTGTTCTTGAGATGCTGCTAAATGTGGTTGGTCTTGGTCTCCCTCCTTATGGTCCTTAAACTTTAGAGCAGACATACCTAAATCCTCCCAGAGAGAGGGATACCTTCAGAGAGAGGGTTATCATCTGGTAAGTCTTCCAGCGAAGGATCATCTTTCTTTAAAAAGGACATGTGGCCACCTTGTTTCCATTAGAACAGACAGCATGGACCAAACGCTACAGGATTAGTCATTTCAAAATGTTTCTTCCAGCTGAGGAGTCCTTCAGTGGCGTTCTAGATCCAGACATGATAGGAACTTCTCTGTAGTGGAACCCTGGCTTTGAAATGGTACTGTATTCCATAAAAGAGATGCCTTGTGCAAACACTATATTCTTTTGGGTGTCAGGTTAAAACCTCCTTGTTTGCACTGACATTCCAAATGAATGAATGAATGAATGAATGAATGAATGAATGAATGAATGAATGAATGAATGCTTTAAATTTTCTATTGTTAATTTTGAAATTATATTTTTAAGGTGACAGTAGGAATTCTGAGCCTCTTATTGTTTTATGTATTTTCTATTGTTAATTTTAAGGTGACAGAAGGAATTCTGAGCCTCTTATTGTTTTATGTTTCTGTTTGTAGATGTTATTTTAAATTGTGTTGGTTTTTAAATTAGTGCTGGATTTTAATTTTTAGGTACATCACCCTGCAATTTTATCTCATTAGAGCATAAGATTATTTATATGAAAGTTTAAATAAATGAATAGATACATAAATGACATATATAGAAGTCACTAGGATATATTACTATTGTGAAATCGAGGGATGGTAACAACCCTCTGCTGATGAATGTCCATTTTCTCCAAGCTTCTCTATGTTTCTCCCTTTGTTTCAGACAAATTGTTCTGTTTTTAGCTTTCAGCCCATTTTATTGTTATGTTGTAAGCGGATTTGATAGAGGCTCCGGGTGTCACTTTTTCCAGGAAATAGAAGAGGACAGGAAGCGAGCAGAGCAGGAGGGAATGGCTGTTACCTCAAGGAGAGTCAGGCCCGATGGTCTCACCATTACTATCACCAAAGCCCATAATGTAAGCATTTGTTTCCTTTTGCTTCCAAGAAAGCAGTTTTTGAGCAGTCCCATTCTTAGCAGGTCAGAACAATGTCTCAAGCTGAAGTGGATGGTTCAGCCTTCCAAATCTGGTGCCCTCCAGAGGTTTTGTCCTCCAGATGTGTTGGGGGGTGTGCCGCTCCCATAGCCCTCAGCTAGCATGACTATTGGTACTATGCTGCTTGGGTATCAAGGGAAGCGTGCCTATGATATGACCACTACTTGTGAAGAATTATTTTAAAGTAATACTAAAAATCAATACTTACAATGTGTGTACCCACTGTCCCGACCAGTGTCTCTCAACCTGACCCACCTCACAGGGTTGGTATGAGGAGAGCACTCAAGCTTAGTACTGTGTTAGATAAGTGCTGCACAGTTTTGATTTCTCACCCTTTAGAAATCAATTTGTTATGTGAAAAACAGGGATTTACACTTCCCAAGAAATGCAATTAAAGCCCTGATGGCTGACATCCACAGCAGCTAACCTGAGAGGGCAGAGGAAGGAGGCATGATAAAGGGAGGGGTGAGGAAGTGGCAGTATTAATAGAATAGGTCTATAATTCCAGGGGGAACCCTAGTATCTTCACTATAAGTAGGACGCCATTTTATGGCATATAGCACGTAACAGGTAAAGTGCCCATTCATTTATATGAACATTGAAATGCCACAAAACAGTACTTTGGAAGATAGATGGCCCATGATTGAGACAGGGGCTGCCCCCTCCATTCCACAAGCTGCTCCTGCCAGGGCAGACTAGAGCTGATGAAAGGCATCTGCAGAGCTGAGGGCATTAATTGATTAGATCAAAGCAGACAAGAAGAGAGAAATTAATTGCTCTTGTCTCTGTGTGGTCCAGAGAAAAAGCCCTCCTCTGAAGCTAATACATGCTATGACTTCCCCCTCTCTGCCTCATGCAAATACAGAAAAAAGATTCAGTTCTATTGTTAAATGTTAAATACCTACTGCAATCCTGATCATTACTAACCCTATCTCACCAGATGATTCCAGAGATACTGATTTCTTACTAATTAGTTTTCAGAGGAAGCATTCATCAAACTGTATTCTCGAAGGCTTTCACGGCCGGGATCTGATGGTTGTTGTGGGTTTTTCAGGCTCTTTGGCCATGTTCTGAAGGTTGTTCTTCCTGACGTTTCGCCAGTCTCTGTGGCCGGCATCTTCAGATGACTGGAGTAGGAACTCTGTCCATGCTCTGATGCTGTTTGTTGGATAGTTGAGTATTTATAGCTATGGGAACAGCTTTTTGCCCTTTTCAGGAGACAGGGTGATCAGGGTGTTTTTGTTGTGATAATGGGGAGACATTATCTGTCATTGTGATTGATGGGTGTCGTTAGCTGGTCTTTTTTGCGCAATGATCCCTGGTCCTTGTGGCTGGGTAGAGTTCGTTGACCTTTTGTAGGCTGTATTTTTCAGCATTGGGAGCCAGGCCTTAATTAGTTTTAGGCATTCATTTTTGTTGAAGTTCTGTTGACGTTTATGGATTTCAATGACTTCCCTGTGCAGTCTAACATAATGATCATTATGTTAGCAATCATCATGTTAGACTGCACAGGGAAGCCATTGAAATCCAGCCACAGAGACTGGCGAAACGTCAGGAAGAACAACCTTTAGAACACGGCCAAAGAGCCCAAAAAACCCACAACAACCATCATTCATCAAAATCCTCAGATATCCTCATATTCAGAACAAACTTGAGATGTTAACAATTTGAGTGCAGAAGAAAAGCAAAGGGTGCTTTGACTCTCCTTAGGGTTCATTTGAATCATGTTGTCATGGTGTCTTCCTCAGTGTCTTAAACCTTTAACATTTAAGTAAAATGTCAGCTTCATAAGCATGTGATAACTGCTAGATAGCCCAGTGGTTTACGTAGGTCTCTGGCTGTGGAAGCCAAGCTTGGGAATTCCCCACTGTACCTCCTTGACTATGGCTGGACTCAGTGATCCACTGGGTCCCTTCCAGCTCTGCAGTTCTAAGATTCTTAGAACACACACACACACCAGTTGTATGGGTTGCTCTGCACTTTGGACAAAAGGATCCGTTGTTTTCCTTGGAAATAATTTTATGGAATTTGTGACACTGATCCATCCCCCAAAAAGTCTATTGCCATAAATTGTTTCTTGAATTTTTCACAGCTTCTGCTCTCTAGTTATTGAATCTGATAAAAGGACTTAAATGAACCTTGCCACCCTTTTTTCCTAAGCCAGGCGTGTCCCGTTTTCCAGGAGAAAAGAGTTGTGAATGAGAAATGGGGAAGCTCTCCTGCCTCTAGTTTTGGGATTGGGAGTGAGGAAGAGGAAGAAGAAGCTGACCATCTCTTTACATTCAGGATGGGGAAGAGGGTCCAGCTGGCAGTGACCATGGACAATAAAACCAAGGTGAGTGCTTTAAAAAAAAGCAAGGGGAAGGGAGGTAAAATCTCTGGAAATGATATCACAAAAAAGAAGGCTGAGGAAAGTCTGTTGCTTTCTTCCCCTCCAACAAAATGGCAAATTTTTAAATAACATTATTCTCTTCACAGCTCATTAATAAATTAGTTACTAAGAATGTCTGTTATACAGTATATTGCAGTGGGCAAAGCAGAGGTCTGTGGAGATTTTGGACTGCAACTCTCATAAGCCTCAGTCAGCATAATTAATGGTGAGGCATGCTGGGAATTGCAGCCACACACCCCATCATTGTGTATTAATAAAGATTTGTGGTTTTCACTTCCCATGTTTGGGTGTTGCATATTCAGAACAGCCACTGATAATCTTCCTTCCTTCCTTCCTTCCTTCCTTCCTTCCTTCCTTCCTTCCTTCCTTCCTTCCTGCTGTTTAGTGCTAAAATGTTTTCTCTCCTGCTTTTCTTTCATCAGCACAGCACTTTGCCATCCAGCCTGTGGGACGTTGTCAGACTGCAACTCCCAGCATCACTTCCTATTGGCTAGGCTGGCTAGGGCTGATGGGAGCTGCAGTCCAGTTACCCCTGGAAGGCTGCACGCAACACCTCTCTGCTTTGGAGAAGGTTATCTTAACGCAAGGATTAGAGTCTTTCATTTATACCGATCCACACATTAGCATCACATGTAAATCGTAATAGAATTAAGGAGGAGAGATAAAAAAGCATACATGGTGCATTTGAAAGACTAACTTTCAAAGACTAAAACAAGAATTCTTTTGTTATTGTGGAGTTTGAGGGTTGTAAGTGTAAACACTACCCAGTGTAGTGCTCACACTTTTTTTTCTTTTCTTTTCCCGGCCTCTGTAGTTCTGTCAACATGCTGAAAAATATTAACATGGTGGCTTCTTTGGAAAGTGTGAATGGGGCTGCCAGATCAGCAATTCTCTGGCATTTCACAACCAAAACCTGAAGGGGGATGGTGGGAAAACTCTTGTGTATCAATCATAAAATGTGGTGCCTGTGTGAGAGAGAAAAGAGAAGGAATGTGGACTTCCTGAAGTACTTCCCAAGGAAAGACCGTGTATGCAATACAACAAATACATTTGTGCTGAGGCAGTGAGCTTAGTGCCACTTGGGCATGGGGAGGGTATGGGCAGCATGCAGGCATGAAAGCCACCAAGCTGACAGTCCAAAAATGAGCATCTATAAGCAGGATCTGTGGATGTTATTCTGGTGACATACTAAGCTAAGGTTTATGTTTTGGACAGCAGGAATACCCACCCCTGTAATCTTTCTCCTAGTCACCCTGAAGTACCTTTTGAATTTTTTTTTTAAACAAACAACTAGATCATCTATGCATGGACAAAGGGGGGAGGGAAGAGAAATCAGTATGAAATAGAAACAACTCCAACGAACTAAAGCAGGCTATGTTTCTGGGATATGTGTGCATGTGTTTGTGCGTTATGGAGAATTCACGGAGAAAATTCTCCTTTCCTCCTTGCACCATGCAATATTTTAAAAAGCCCACCGTCTCTCGGCTCTGGTGGGGATCAAACCATATCAAATGGAGGGGGCCAGTGTGAACATTTGCATCAAAACAATCTACAGCCTCTGTGTGATCATCTGGTCTGAACAAAAGTGTAAAACACGCTGCAAATCAAGCTGCAGTGGCATCTCTCTGATTTGGCTTGCTAGTGTAGTTGCAGCCTCAGTAAACAGTTCCAGTTAGGTTGGTAGGAGATCAGTTAGGTAAGGGAGACAAGAGTGTTGAAGACTGGGGATAAGAAGCAGAGAAGAAAGAAATTTTGGGTTGGGATTTGTGTTCTCTATTTATCTCATTCTGGCATGAGAAATCACTTCCACATAGGAAGTGATTTCCCCATGCCAGGTATTCGGGTATTTCTTACAGCTGGGCTGTTTTTTCTGAAGATGAATGCTTTGTTTCAACAGTGCTTTCCATGTTCTTTAGGACTTGAGAAGCTTCCCCCATCATCTGCAGAGATGGGTCCTCTCTGGAAGGGCTAGGTCCTGCCCCTGAGTCTCTGAGAGGGGCCTTCAACCTTGGAGAAACACTCTGCTAGGCATAGAGTAACTCAGAGATTAAAATATACCCACTCTGTATAGTTGTTCCAAATTGCTGCTTCTACTGCTGTTCAAAATTGTTGATTTTATTTAACATTTTAACGAACACAGACTTCAGCTATTTCTGTTAACATTTTTCAATATTATATATCCCCTGAGTATACTTCCCTACAGAAAAACAAACTCCAATATTGTTGTTGTTGCCGCTGTTACAAAATACGTGGTATGATATAGTACTAATAAAAATCACATCCAGGGTCAGATTGCTTTATTCAGCCAAAAGGGCATGAGCCTATGCCAGAGGGGAAGAGACGGTGACTCTCTACATATCGTTGGGCTCTAGCTTGCATCACTCTCAACTATTAGCCACATTAACTGAGCCTCGTGGCGCAGTGGTTAAACCGCTGTACTGCAGCCAAAACTGTGCTCACAACTTGGAGTTCAGTCCCAGGTAGCCGGCTCAAGGTTGACTCAGCCTTCTATTCTTCCGAGGTCGGTAAAATGAGTACCCAGCTCACGGGGGGGGGGGGGAATGTCCTTCCTTCCCCTCCCCAGAGGCCGGAGGGCAGACACAGGGTGCTTTCCTTCGTCAGTCTCCGTTCTGGGCAAGGGGCCCCTGCACCGGCCATGGGCGACGGGTCTGACCGCCCAGAGAGTGCTTGAAGCACTATGGGGCGGTATATAAGCAGCACACTTTGCTTTTTTGCTTTTTTTAACTGGAGTTCATAGAGGTGGAATCCATGACATCTAGAGGCCCACAGGTTCCTCTCACCTCTGCCTTAGGCTGAACCCCTGAGTCCTGTAAGAAAATTCAGTTGATCATAGAGGGACTTGTTTTAAAGCAAATGTGCATAGTATTCCATTGTTAATAAGTGCTTTGACCAGTAACCATGAGATGCAAGCAGTTTTTTTGCATTTGGTTCTCCATACCCAACCCAGGGGAAATTCTCAAGGCCACCATTCCATTGTGAATAAGTGCTTTGACCCGTAACCATGAGATGCAAGCAGTTTTTTGCATTTGGTTCTCCACACCCAACCCAGGGGAAATTCTCAAGGCCACCCCAATGAGTTTCAGGTCTGGATGGCTACTGCACTGGGTTCTCCCAAAGTTGCAATCCAGCACAATTTCCAAGGCCACCCAACCAGCTTCTTGTGCAAACTTTTTCATAGTTCATATGCTCTTTATTCCATAGTAATTGACCTTTTTACTAATTCCATATTATTATTACTGCTGAAGAAATCAGGATCTGCATGGCAGTCTTTGTGAGCATCTTCCTTCTAGAAGCTGTATATTCCTTCTAGAAGTTTTCAGCCGGATAGAGTCTCATTGCCATGAATAGTCAACCCTAGCAATCCAGTGAAACAGCATGCGCTCAGACTGATGTGACTCTTCAGTCTTTTACTGTCAGATCAGATTGAAAATTCATTTCAAGTACTTCAGAAACCTCTCTAGACACATCTTTGGGGATAGCTTGTGGAGGACATCTGCTCTGTTTCACAGCCGCAGTCGAAACACTATACTGTATCATATTAGGCAATGCTGACATATGAGCAGAGAATTATATAAATGTATCAGAACGATCTTCTAGAAAAGGATGGCAGTTCCTTGGCATGTTTGGGGGCAGGTATCTAAGGATCAGAAGTGATAAATCAAAGACAAGAAATACTAGGATAACAGAATAGAGAAAGATGGGGTGTGGCTTGAACACACACACACACCCCAGGCTAGGCAAGGAAGGGCTAATCCCTGCCCACTCTCCAAATATAATAAGACAAAATTGGACTGAAATTCCTGTGTACTTGGATCTGCTCATAAATGAGCCATTAAAAGGGCATTAAATGATTAAAGGCACACACATGAACAAGCACATATGCATGCACACACACAAACGCACATATGCACATACACACCAGTATTCTGTTCAGGTTGCCACATGAACAACTGCAGAATGCAGAAGCAGCTGCAGTGATGTAGGGAGGTCCAGTTGCCTACCTCTCTGCCTACCTATGTGGCTTCTCTAGCACCCAGTCATGCAACTAGCCATGCAATCAGGCATCACTGCATCCGCTTCTGCATTTGCAATTGCATGTATGGTAACCTGACGGGTATATTGGCTTGTTGCTGTTTTGTGCTGTCAAGTTGGAACTAACTTACAGGAACCCTAACAGGACTTTCAAGGTAAATGAGATATTTAAGGAGTGGTTTTTTTTCCAGTTCCACTCCCCCAGTGAGTTTCATGATCAAGGGGGGCGGAATTGAAACCTGTTCTCCAGAGTCCTAGTCCATTACTTCAACCACTACAAACACACTGGGTATCCCTTATTGTCTTAAAACTGCCATTGTACTTGAGCCCAACCAAGAGTAAGGCCAAAACAAAACAAAAATATAACAAAAACTAAGACTATGAACAATCATTGTATTGGTTTAGCTCATCAAATAATCAGTTGCAAAATGCCTTTGCAAGGAGGCAAAATTCATCATGACTTGCCTCCAGTCTTGCACCTTCCCCACTTAAAAAGAGTGCTAGAGTTCTTGGACAGCGTGTCCAACTTCCTGTAACTTATATTCTTTCTTGGAGACCATCTGTCCACAGAGAGAGTTCAGGGGCTGGGTGCTCTCAGCCTTTTCAGGCACAATAAACGCTGGTGCTCTGAACACGCTTGGAAAGGAGAACCTAAGTCTTCCACCTCTGTCCCAGTCTTCCTGATTTTGGTGCTACTTCTGAAGCAGAGGAGGGTCCTGCTCACATTTAAGATCTCTACACACAAGCAAGAACCCCAGTTTCCCAGGGTTCTTCCTCACCTACACGTGAGCAGCAAACTGCCCTCTTCATGGGGGTTTACTTCGATGAATATGAAACCATGAAGAAACAACTACAGGGTGTATTGCGCCCCCCCCCCAGCTTCAAAATGACAAAGGAGAGAAGGAATAGTCACTGTGCCAAGATAATTCAGGGACATTTCCAGCCTATTTGCTGTACTAACTGTGCCTAGTGTGCTCCCAAAGAAGTTTGTCATCAGACAAAAATAGAATGCATATCCCAGTTTGTTCAGTGAAGTTTACTTCCAATTTCAATTTAGACATGAACAAACATAAAGCTCCCTTTCATAGGTAGTGAGTAATGTCATTTGCTGCACATCCGTGATCTTCAGAGTCTGTTTTCTGAGGCAGCCAACTGGCTCTGCCTAATATTCTGCCAAAGTTGTGTGCAACTGCAGGGATGAAGCCTTGATCCCAGCTCTGAGTTCAGGAGGCGACTTAAGACTAGATATGTTGGGCTACGCTTTGGTTGTGACAGAGCGTAGAGTTTTCTCCTCCTGCAGGGTTGGTTGCCATGCTGGCGGTGGGATCCTGAATGTTGCAGTCCAGAGATGTAACTTCCCCACGCTTTTAAGTGGTGTTCTTTGTGCTTTAGAAAGGGCAGGGCAGAACCCAAACTCGGAGATATAAAGTACACAGTGTGGACTTTTGTGGTTGGTTGTTTAAAGCTGAACTTCTGCCAATTTCAACTGAAATGTTTAGTGACAAAAGAAGGTGAAGGTCAAAGAAAAAGTGGCTTGGTTTTGGGGTGTCCATGCAGATTCCATGGGCCTAATGTGATTTGTGTGCTGGCTCCAGAGCTTAGCATTGTTTTCAATAACATGGAATAAACTTCAAATTCTGTTTTTTGCTTAATAATGGTTTCATCCAGAAAAAATGTTCCAATGCAAGTAACATTTTGGCTTGAACACAGACAATTCACCAGCCCCGATAGAAATCTGCTGACTTTTGCACTGCTATAGCAGATGCCTAGATTAGAACGAGGAAAACTATAGGCTGATGAAAGACTGCACTGATAAGTTTCAAACATACCTCATGATTTTAATGTGGCCTGATTTTAAAAGTCCTCTTCAAATACATCATTTCAGATCTCTGAAAAAAATTATCTCGACCTCTCGCCAAAAGGAGGGAAGATGTGTGTGAGAGAAAATGAGAGAGCAGAGGTGGGACAGGGAGAGAGGAAGTCTGAGAGTTAAGGGAGAGGGAAAGGGTGGTAGTGGGAGGGAAGAGAGGAAGGGGGTGGTAGAAAGAGCGGAGGGAGGGAGAGGATGATGGGGCAGAGGCATAGAAAGAGAGAAAAAAAAATCAAAAGAGTGTGGCCAAAAGAACGGAAAGGGATAGCAAGTCAGCTTTGCCTTTTGCCGCTAACTGCTTTCATAAATCTCCTGCAAATTAACCCCTGATGGAATGCAGTGCTACAAATGTACAGTGCTATGCAGTACTATATGCTACATGCATTTGTTTACAATACAGAATTTGTTGCAAAATTATTTGTCCTGCAGAATAAAATTGGGTATGAGCAGTCAGCAATGTCAAGTACTACATGCCCAAATTCTACTTCTATCTGTTACTGGGGTTTGTTTAGCCCTAAAGGCAAACCCTTATCCTCTAAGTGCTCATCTGGATTACCCAGGGCAAAAAATCTGAGCTCCTGTTTGTGTCTTCCTAAGAACGTGCATCTGTCATTCTGCCTTTGCTAGGGAAAGCGGGTTGTCAGTGAGAAGCGGGGATCTGAATGTCTCGTGAGCCCAGGAGAGGCTCCAGATATCAGCGAAGATGAGGTGGAACAGCTGGTTGCTTTCCGCAGAGGAAGAAGGATGCAGATTGCTATTACAGTGGACAACAAAGGCAGGGTGAGTGTTTTCCAAAATGGCTCCCAAGAGCTGCAACTCACTGACTGGAGGACTGTTGTTTTCTTTCCATAGTGTTGCTTTTGTGTATGTTTTCATTACATTTGTATATGCTTTTCCTCCAACGAGCTCAAGGGAATAGTCATGGATGTACTCCTCCCCGCCCTTATCCTCTGACTGGAGTTTAGAAGTAGCTCAAGACTAAATAATTTGTTCAATGTTCCTTGAATCCCTGACACCAGTACGTATTGCGCACAAGGCTGAAATAAGTCTCAACAGAATCAAAGTGGGATAACAAACCTTGCTTTCGGGATCTGAACATGGTGCGTAAAATAAGGAGGAAATGGACGCAATTTGGCTGTGACTACGTGGTCAAATCCTGCAGGATTTTCTCTGTTTATAAAATAGATGAATTTAAATTATTTTTTACTGATCACATGATGCAAAAGCCGATTCAAACCAGGCCTGGCCTTTTTTGCTCCCAGTGTAGCTATTTTTCTCTCTCTCTGCCCCTGGGGGCTTCTAATTTTTTTCAAGCTGGAATGATTCAAACTGATTTTTCCCATGTAAATCAGCTGATCCATTCTTATAAACATGGGGGCATATCTGTGAGTGGTGTTTTGGTGATATAGGCAGTTGAGGAGTGATGTTCAAGACCGTGGGAACATCTCTCCCTGCGTAATGATTCACCCTCTGATTTTTAATTTTTTTTCATATATGAGATTAGTGCTAGAATAGATGATCACATTATCAATAACTAGTGTTGATATACTCGTCTAGCAATAGACCACCTCTGGACAAGAACGTTTTTAATCCAAAAGCAACCCAGATGAAAAAAAAAGTATATATTATCCATAGTATGTAGTATTCTGTACATTGAGAAGAACCTTGGAGTGCTGTCACCTTTTCCGAAGCCTTCTACAGCCCTTTCAAAACCAAGCAGCTTGACAACAAACCTTAAAAGCATCCGCAGAGATGGGACCAAAGGAAAGAAGTAGCACTGTGGATTGAAATGATTTTGTAAGCCGCCCCGAGTAGACATTGTCTGGGGGGTGGCATATAAATCGAATGAATGAATGAATGAATGAATGAATGAATGAATGAATGAATGAATGAATGAATGAATGAATGAATGAATGCATGCATATTGAACCTCATTGAGTGTGAACACTAAACTCCTGAATCAATCCACAGCCCCTGTGTGAGTGTCGACTACAAATTTAACCACAATATGGGCTGAGAATTAAAATCGCAGCAAAATTGAAATCGGAGTGATTCGGCTTGCCAGTATAGTGCCAGCCTCAGAATGAAGTAGGCAGGAAGTTGGTGGAATAAATAGACAACAGGGGATAATGATCCATGTTACACATCTGACCTCAGGGAGCAATTCTGAGAGGGTGTGGACTGGCAGTACTAGGATGACCTGAAGCATTCCAGCATACCTAGCAATTATACCCTCCATTATATGGATGCTAATACTGGGATCATCCATTCAAGTCTGCCACCAAATAAATAAATACCAGGATGACCCTGAACAAGAACCAGATACAACACCACAATGTGGACGAGCCTTGCTTTTCTAATAAATTAATTTATGTTTTGCAGTAAGAAGCTGAGATAAAGTTATTGTTATCATTGTGCTGCTTGTAACAGCCATGATGATAGCTTACTACTTTTCAATGGAATGAGAAGTATTAGGTGGCAACCTAATACTTATTGTGGGGTGAGGAGCGTGAGAAGGAGAAAGAATCATGGGATGGGCTCATGTAGTGCTCCTGCCTCACCTGCCTGGCATTGTTAATAAGATGTGCAGAGAGTAAGGAGCAGATGAGAGTGACAAGAACCAGGTCTTTCTCCCAGGCTGATGTGGAAGTTTTGTTTTGTTCTGGTTTGGTTTGGTTTTAGGATTTTTGCATTGCATTGCCAGTATTCAGAACTATACCCCAAAGCAAATCAGAATCTTTACTTTAAGGAGTGGACAGTTAATACCCAGACCTCTAGGATGAGAGGGGTGTGTGATGAAAGACTGAACTCAAATCCTGTCATGTATACTGGGAGAAGCCACATACACCTGCTAAATTCAAAGGGATTTGTTTCTGTACAGATAATAGGATGGGATGGAGTGTAAGGGCTACCAAACCCACAAGGTTGTGTGAAGGAAGTTCAGGTGCTTTACTCATCTTTGCAATATTTTCTTGAAAAGCAGTATCTCGACGCTTGCTGGGCAATACAGTATTGTAAGACAACATCTACAGTATTTCATCTGTTAGTTTCTTAATTTTTAAATTTATTTATGTTGCTAACATTGTATTTACAACCCATTCTATTAGAGATGGGAAGAGGTGCTTGAGGGATTTTCTTCAGGGAACTGCTAAGCATTTTCCCTGCCATTTTCTGTGGTGTAACGATAAAGAAAACATGTTCACAACAACTTTCCTGAATGGCAGCAAAACTCACAATAAAACTCACAATAACAGCCTGAAGTACTCGTAAATAACGAGTAACTCAATGGATTCCTTTTACAAAGTAATACTCCAAGCTCTGCCTCCAACGAGCAAGCCTGTGAGGTAGGTTAGGCTGACTGAAAGAAAGAGAGGGTCTCCACCAGGATCACCCATTGAAGTTTACAGCTGAACAGGCACTTCTAACTGTTCCAAACTGTGGTCTGCAGTGAAGTGCATTATTTTATCCTTCCTGGGCCAAGACTTTTAAGTAAATTTAGAGCTGAGCTTCAGCAGCTCCAATGGGCAGTGCCCAAGTGATGTTGTGCAGGCAGAGGCAAGTGTTAACAGGAGAAGAACAGCACAGCCTGTGCTTCCTATTCAGTCAGCATCAGATTGCAGGTCAGCTGCCAGGCCTAGTCTCTGCCCTGCTGTTATGAAGGGAAGTAAAGAAAGCCTATTGTTGACATGGTGATTGGAGGCATTCAAAAGTTTTACAGTCCCAGATGGGGAAAGGCTGTTTTCTCAGGCAAGATGGATGGTGGGCCTACAGAGAACACATGGACACATTGAAATGGAGAGTGTTAATCATGCTGGGAAAGGCAGCCAACGCGGCAAGTTCAAGGCTCTTGTCTCACAGCTGACACTTTCCCAGTAACAGTCAGCCATTGTCCTCCAGTCCAGGGTACTGCAAGGCCTCCCATTGCGTGTGCGCACGTATGAGCCTTGAGCTTGGAAACTGTTTCAATAGCCCGTTTGGCAGAAAGGTCCCTTTTTTGTGTGTAGACTTTGGCACAAGGTGGATGCACATAAATGAAACACAGAAATGGCAGTGACTAAAGTGGGGAGGGGGGAGTGATTAAGTGATAAAGTGGGGAAAGGGCAACAACAGCCAGCGGAGGGAGGTGATTTCCTGTCTGTATCCTAAGTGGGATTCTGGTAAATATCCTAAATAACAAATGTTTCTATTTGGGACAGCGTGTTCCAGAACCCCCCAAGCAGTACGGCTACTCAGTTCTGTCTGGGGGATTCTGGAAAAGGTAGTCCATGGAAGTGACTTTTCCAGGCCTTGGGACTCTATAACCTGCAGTAGAATGAATCTACAGGGGCATCATCTTTTTATGAGAAGGATGCCGTGAAATGACCTTTCACTTTTCAGTCTAGGCCAAGTTTCCACACAAAAGATGTCCTTGGGATATTTGTTATGTGACTCTGAACAGAATGACAAGATGGCACCCTCTTCCCCCATGTCCACAAATATTGAATATACCAGTGGTTCTTAACCTTTGTTACTCGGATGTTTTTGAACTGCAACTCCCAGAAACCCCAGCCAGCACAGTTGGTGGTGAAGGCTTCTGGGAGTTGCAGTCCAAAACTCCTGAGTAACCCAAGGTTAAGAACCAGTGGACTATACAATCACTTGAACACTTACAATGAGATATCATCCTTTTCACACCTGAAGGCAGCAAACTAGCTTTGGGGATGGGAAATGAATCATATGGCTCACACAACTCTGTCCACAAACTAAAGGAAACAGTACAGAGAAAGGGTGAGAGTCTCTGGCTCTCCTGGGTCTCCAGTATCTTCCTCCTGAGATGGTCACATTTCTCTTCCTGACAGCAGGGCTGGCACCGTCCACAGATATAATGTGTGCATCATGGAATTCTTCTGCCCTAGAAGATTTAATGTGCCGTCGAGTCAACTACTTTTAGCAATCTGCATTATGCATCTGGTGTCTCAAGACTGCATTGGAATAATACACTCCTGCCCAACAGACTTACGAACATTTGTGCTTGTACAGAACAAAATGTGACATCCAAATTTAGGGAACTATAATTTTGTCAAGATGTAGTTAATAAGAATGAGCCAGGATTAGACTCTGGTTTCAAGATTCTGGCTTCTTAGAATCATATAATCATAGAAAAGGGAAGTTGAAAATGGGCCTACAAGGACATCAAGTCCAACCCCCTGCTCAATGCAGAAATACAATCAAAGCATATCTGCCAGGTGATTATGTAAGTTGTTCTTTAATGCCTCCAGTGTTGGAGCACTCACCCACTCCCAAGGTAAATGGTTCCACTGTTGTACTGTTCTAACAGTTAGGACGTTTTTCCTGATATTTAACTGAAATCTGGCTTCCTTTACCTTGAGCCCATTGTTGCGAGTCCTGCACTCTGGGGTGATCAAGAACAGATCCTGCCCCTCTATATGACAGCCTTTCAAACTTTTGAAAAGTGCTATCATAAAACAGTTTCTTCTAAAATCATTCAAGCAAACCACAATTAACCAGATTTGGACATCATAGGAAAGTATGATGGTGGACGATCTTTGGCTCTCCGGATATAGTTATAATACAACTCCCATCATTCCTTATCATTGGCTATGCTGGCTATGGCTAATGGGAGTTGCATTTCTACAATAGCTGCTGGGCCACATTTTCTGCATGCCCAATTTAAAAGCAGAAGTGACTGGTTCTGATTTTCTCTTTTGCACACAAATGAGGAGAGATGGTTGACTTAGGTGGGCTCATGCATCTAGCAGGGCTCAATCTTTTCCAGTATG